AAAAAAAAAAAAAAACAAAAAAAAAAAAAAAAAAGACTTTGTAATTATCTGTAAATATGTAGTTAACAAATTGACCTAGTTTCTGTATTTTTTAAGTTTTTTTTGTACTAAAATTTATAGAGAACAGTCTGTGCCAGCTAGCAGAAAGCTACTGTAATTGCCAGTCGTAGTGCAGCATGCATCTAATCCCTGAGATTGTCGAGGTGACGCTGTAAGGAATTGTGCTTCTGTATTGCTGGGGGGAGCGGGGCTCAGCCGGGGGTCCCCATGCCCCCCCCCCTGTGCCATGTGCCACTGTGGGCAGCCCGATGGACGGCAGCGGTGCTGGGGCTGAGCTCGGCGGGTTCCGTTCCTTTGCTGCGGTTTTAATACCGTCTGATGACTTTTTGTTTTCAGCCTTTGTAGAAACGATCCGTTTTTTTTTTTTTTCCCCCCCGTTTCTCAGTGCTTTTGTCTTAAGCCCCGGAGCTCATCTAAACCTACTGGAGGAAAAAAAAAAAAAAAAAAGAAAAAAAAAAAAAAAAAAAAAAAAAAAAAAAAAAAAAAAAAAAAAAAGGACAAAAAAAAAAAAAAGAAGAATTTCATTTGAGATCATTGCCTGCTTTTAGCGCCAGGATCACGCATTTCTATGGCAACTCTGAGCAGCACGGCTGCCGATGAGCTGAAGGACGCGGCTCTGCTGCTCGGCGCGGCTCCGGGAGCCCCGCGTGTCCCACAGCCCCATCCTGGAGCACGGCGTGGGCGCCCATTCCACCCCGCTGTACCGCAGCAGAGGTGAGCCCGGAGCCCAGAGCTGCGCCGAGCATCCCAGGAAGCTGCAGGCAGAAGGGTTTGGGGTGCGGGTGAGGCTGTGCTCGAGGGCCGGGTCCCGGCCGCCCTAGGGCTGTGGGGATGGAGCTTCCGAGGGCCGGGCATCCGTGAAGGAGCAGCGTCCTCGTGTGTGGGTTTGGCGAGCGAACCGCCTGCGTCCTCCCTCCCGTTTCCCTCCTGACCCCTCGCAGCCCTTCTCCTTGCTTGCTTGGAACGGGAGCGTTGTTCCCTGCCTAGAAACAGCCGAAACTTGG